GATGAGGTATTATGTACATTATTCGGAATATTGTCCTCATCTTTGTCGCCATATTTATTACAACGTTTCGGCCGTTGTACGCTCCGGCCTTCTTCAGGTGGTTGGAATGTCGAACTGAACATTATAGAAATAAGGATATAATCAAGTTTCCTTGAACTTCCAATCATACAGTTCCTGTTCTTGAAAACGACCAATCCTAGTTGAAAATGCTAGGACAGTGAAACTACATATCAGCTCTCTTCTAAGAGAAAATTACTGAAAATAGATTCTTAAAAAAAATTCTTTCCATTGTCCCATTTGTCTTTAACTTGTCCCGTGGGTATCAAATTTTCCAAGCCCTCCTTCCTCATTACGTGCCCCAGAAATTTCAACTGCCTCTTTCTGATGTTAAGTATAAATTTCCTTTTTGTTTCCATGTTATCCAGAACTTCGTCGTTGCTCACATATACGGTCCATGTTAGCCTCAGCATCCTTCTGTAGAATCACGCTTCTCTTGCTTCAAGTCTCTTCTTCATCTGCAAGGAGATTGTCCAGCATTCACTGCCATATAGGAGAACAGATATTACGTAACAGTTCAGTACTCTTTTCTTTGTTTCTCTTGCTTCAAGTCTCTTCTTCATCTGTGAGGAGATTGTCCAGCATTCACTACCATATAGGAGAACAGATATTACGTAACAGTTCAGTACTCTTTTCTTTTGTTTCTCTTGCTTCAAGTCTCTTCTTCATCTGTGAGGAGATTGTCCAGCATTCACTACCATATAGGAGAACAGATATTACGTAACAGTTCAGTACTCTTTTCTTTGTTTCTCTTGCTTCAAGTCTCTTCTTCATCTGTGAGGAGATTGTCCAGCATTCACTACCATATAGGAGAACAGATATTACGTAACAGTTCAGTACTCTTTTCTTTGTTTCTCTTGCTTCAAGTCTCTTCTTCATCTGTGAGGAGATTGTCCAGCATTCACTACCATATAGGAGAACAGATATTACGTAACAGTTCAGTACTCTTTTCTTTGTTTCTCTTGCTTCAAGTCTCTTCTTCATCTGTGAGGAGATTGTCCAGCATTCACTACCATATAGGAGAACAGATATTACGTAACAGTTCAGTACTCTTTTCTTTGTTTCTCTTGCTTCAAGTCTCTTCTTCATCTGTGAGGAGATTGTCCAGCATTCACTACCATACAGTAGGACAGATATCACGTAATACTTCAGTACTCTTTTCTTTCTTTTCTGTGTCTTAATACTTTGTTTAGCTTTTGTAATGCATCTTTTGCTATCTCAATGTGCCTTTGGATTCCAGTATTGCACCTGTTATTTTAAACATTTCCCAGATATTTAATTTTTTTTTTTTTAACTTGTTTGATTTTGGTATTGAATCCTTTTCCCAGAACTTATTTATTATAATGGGTGCGTATATAAATAAGTCAAACGTCTCTTGAGTTTTACAAGATGGCAGTCATTTCCGCCCACACATCTTTGCCCATGTTTAACTCCTTGCTTTTATATTTAGTTTTGGTAAATAAATCTTGTAGATTTTTTTTTACTTACTTACTTACTTACTCTGCCCCCATTACTACCAATGTCTTCTCCTTTCTTTCGTATCCGTTCCTCACGCATACTAACCCGCTATTTATCTCCCCCTCCCAAGTCTGGAGAATAGGTCCTGAGGCAGTCCCTGCTACAAAAATAGAATAACGTTATATAAATAATCGCCAAAATGTGAAGCTAAGTGGTCCACTTGCAGGACTAGACTTTTGAGGTCTTTAGTAGTTTCTTTTCTTCGTCGTCGTCATCGTGCCGTTTTCCTTCAGGACGCAGGCGATCATGTCTCTCCACAACTTTCTGTACTTTGTAGCTCCTAATAAATTGTATTTTGTTATTTCTCTTAAACCCTGTTCCGCCATCCATTTAGTCAAGCTCACTAAATATGTTATGTGTTGTTTTCCTCTGTTCCTCTTGCCTTCAATATGTCCTGTGAGTATCAGATTTTCCAAGCCCTCTTTCCTCATTATGTAGATTATGCGTTGCTTTCCTCTATTCCTCTTGCCTTCAGTCTGCCCTGTGAGTATCAGATTTTCCAGGACCTCTTTCCACATTATGTAAATTATTCGTCGCTTTCCTCTATTCCTCTTGCCTTCAATATGTCCTGTGAGTATCAGATTCTACGAGCCCTCTTTCCGTGCTCCAGAAATTTTTACTGTCTCTTTCAGATGCTAACTATAAGTTTCCTTTCTGTTTCCATTTTCTCTTAAACCTTGTCGTTGCTCATATGTTCTGACTATGTGCTGTTCGTCCTGGGCATGACAATAAACTGCAACCAGCAGCAAACCACCTTTTAATTGCTGTTCCTCCCGGGTTCACCTTGACCTGGGGTAGTAACACCTGTTACCAAGAATACATTTTTATAGCAAAGTTACCGACAATAGATTTTTATACAAAAATTACCAAAAACACCGCACATACTAACAAATTGTAGCAACTACAAACAACCAACCAGAAAAAACTTTCAGGATATTAAACCATATAATATCCTTCTTCTTTTACATGCCGTGTCTCTTCGGAACGTAGGCGATCATGGCCCTCCACATTCTTCTCCTGTCCGTTGTAGGTTTTAATAAGTTTTGTCCCTCCCACGCCTTTTTCGGACATCCATTTACTCAAGTTTAGCTATGGACAAATAGTGAACCGCAAAACTGGAGTCGAAATATGAAAATATAAAAATAATATTAAAAAAAACTTACTAGGAATACATTTTCATGGTAAAAATAAAAAAACTACTAGTAATACATTTTCATGGTAAAAATAAAAAAAAACTACTAGTAATACATTTTCATGGTAAAAATAAAAAAAAACTACTAGTAATACATTTTCATGGTAAAAATAAAAAAAACTACTAGTAATATATTTTCATGGTAAAAATAAAAAACTACTAGTAATATATTTTCATGGTAAAAAATAAAAAAACTACTAGTAATACATTTTCATGGTAAAAATAAAAAAAACCTACTAGTAATACATTTTCATGGTAAAAATAAAAAAAAACCTACTAGTAATACATTTTCATGGTAAAAATAAAAAACTTACTAGTAATACATTTTCATGGTAAAAATAATAAAGACTTACTAGCAATATATTTTTGGAAAGAAAAAATTAGCGAAGCTCCCAAGAAAATAAAATTTTGGCATTAAATGACCCATAAGCAGTTGATATGCCGTTGAAGAAATCAAACTAAACCGTCCTGTGAATGTCAGATTTTCTAAGCCTTTTTTCTTCATTATGTACTCTAGAAATTTTAACTGTCTCTTTCTGATGTTAGCTATAATTGTTTTTTTGTTTTTGTTTTTTTGTTTTTTCATTTTCCTAAAACATCGCCGTTGCTTACCTGTTCCGTCCATGGTATTATCAGCATCCTTCTGTAGAACCACATTTCTGTTACCTCAAGTCTCTTCTTCATCTATGAGGAGATTGTCCAGCATTCACTGCCATATAAGAGGGTTGATATTACACAAAATTTCAGCACTTCTTCCTTACAATTTAAAAATAGTGTTTGGCTTTAAATAACCTGCAATAAGTTTATAAGCCGTAAAAAGCGAATCAATCAATTCGCTGCCTCATATTTCCTTTTCATCTGTGAGGAAATTGTCCAGCATTCACCGCCATTATCTGTCTATATTTTTGAGATGACGTATTATGTACATTATTTACATTATTCGGACTATTGTCCTCATCTTTGCCGCCATATTTATTACAAAGTTTCGGCCGTTGTACGCTCCGGCCTTCTTCAGGTGGTTGGAATGTCGAAATAAAGGGTTCAGTTCGATATTCCAACCACCTGAAAAAAGCAGGTTCGTACAACGGCCGAAACGTTGTAATAAATATGGCGACAAAGATGAGAACAATAGTCCGAATAATGTAAATAATATTCACCGCCATATAGGATGTCTGATATTACATAACAGTTCAGTGTTCTTTTCTTTGTTTCTAACAAGATTTTTCCTGTTTCTTAATACTTTGCTTAGCTTTTGAAGGGCATCTTTCACTATCATAATGCGTCTTCGGATTTCGATGTCACATTTACCTTCCTATGTTAAAACACACCCTAGATACTTAAATTTTTGTCAATTGCAAAAGTTTGCTGAATTACGTTTCTTAGATTACGAAAAAGCATTTGATAACGTACAGCACAAGGATATATTTGAATTGCTGGGGGGGGGTTCCTGATTTATTTGGGGAGATGTTAGAATAATTCATCTCTCATAGTGTACACTCACAATATTCAGCGTGCTAATTCTCGGAGAACTAGAAATGCAACCAGAACTTATAATTGGTGAGCATAAAATGACACTACGTTGATGGCAGACACAGAAAGAAAACTGCAGGACTTCCTAGAAGGGGGTAATAAAGGAAAGGGCGAATAAAGGACTATCACCTTGAAGAAGACAAAATGTATGATCGTCAACAAGACAGACGGTCAAAGATGCGAGCTATGAATTGGTGACGTTGGAATCGAGTTAAATACAGAAAACTTGGGAATGTTTTAACAAACGACAGAAAATGTGACCTCAAAATCCGAAGGTGTATTGGAATAACAAAATGATTACTAGATACGTTTTTAAGGCTTACGAACCATTTGCAGGGTTTTTTGCTGCCATAAAGTATATTTAGATTGTGAGATAATGATTTTAGTGATATGTCTTACTAATTAACCCATAGCTTGGGGAGAGAAGAGGTGGATTCATACTTTCCCCAAGGGTATTTGCGCGTAAGTGAATACAAAGGAACGAACTGGAATTGAAACTGGAACTCTGCTCTCCGATTAACAATTTTGAGGCTTTACTCATTACACCACCCGCGCATCCAAGATTACAGATTATTCCCAAGCGGTCACTCATCTAGGTATTGACCAGGCTCGACGTTGCTTAAATTCGGTGATCGTACGGGAACCCAGCTCCCCGATTAATAATTCCGGGTCATTATCCATTACACCACCCGCACATCCAAGGTTACAGCACCTAGTATTCCCAAGCGGTCACCCATCTAGGTACTGAACAGGCTCGTCGTTGCTTAACTTCGGTGATCGTACGGGAACCCAGCTCCCCGATTAATAATTCCGAGTCATTATTCATTACACCACCCGCACATCCAGGCTTACAGCACCTGGCATTCCCAATCGATCACCTAAAAGTACAAGAATATATGAAGTAGTGATTTTCCAAGCGTAGCTCAGATGTGGCACAAGGCCGAAAGTATGGGTACCCAGTGAGGATCGAACTCGCTACTCAGTCGTAATAGTCTAGCGAGACAAGCTTGCTAACCATTACACTACCTCGAGGTGCCCAAGAATATATGAAGTAACCCAGTACAATCGAGTCATCGATGGCTTGTCAGATTTTGGGAAGATGGTCTCCTTGAGAACTTTTATGCTCCCATTCATGTAATGGTAATATTAGCCGTTTCCCTATAAGGAAACATTCTGCATTTATTGTCCAACCATCCAGAACTGCTTCCGGTTGGAATTTATAAAATTTTCTCCTAAAACAGTTTTTCTTTCTGTTTCTCAAGTCTAGTAGCTGCTAACGCTCTTTCAAATATTACTGGCATCTGTCTTCTTCACCTACGATTCGAAGTAGTGTAGAATGCTAACATCTTGATTAAATCAGTATTTTCTCTTCAAGTTACATGTGCTATCTATTTTAGCTTTTGCTGTTGTTAGTCGTCCTCAAGTGATGTGGTTTCTGTTATTTGGTACTGTTCTTTGTGAATATTTGACATGCTTTTCTTCACTCCCATTGGGATGCTATCAAAGTGTAGTATCTGTTGACATCTCTACAGGTAATGGTAATATTAGCCATTTCTCTACAAGGAAACATTTGGCATTCATTGACCAAGCAGCCAATGCTACTCAAGTTCAGCTTTACTTTATTATCTGGCCATCGGGATGGGATCAAAGTGTAGTATCTGTTCTCCTCACCACTAATTGTAATAGTAATTTGAGTTGTTTCCTTATAGGGAAACATTTGGCATTCATTGCCATTTTCTTATAAGGAAACATTAGGAATTCATTGACCAAGCAGCCAGTGTTGCTTGAGTTAAGCTGTTCTTTATTACTTGGTCATTGGGCTGGGATCATAGTGTAGTATATGTTCTCCTCGTCTCTCATTGTAATATTTGCTGTTTTTTCTAAGGAAACATTCAGCACACCCCAAGAAAGCAGCCAGTGGTACTCGAGTTACACTTTTCTTCACTGCCCGGCCATCAGGCTGGGATCAAAGTGTAGTATCTGTTCTCATAATAGTGATATGCGTTTCCTTATAATGAAATAGTTGGCATTCATTGACTAATCAACCAGTGCAACTCGAGTTATGCTTTTCTTCACTCCCTGGTCATCGGGCTGGGATTAATGTGTAGTATCTGTTCTCATCTCTAGAGGTGATGGTAATATTATCCGTTTCCCTACATGGAAACATTTAGCATTCATTGACCGAACAACCAGTGCTATTCGAGTTATGCTTTTCTTCACTTCCTGGAAATCTAGATGGAATCAAAGTGTAGTATCTGTTCTCCTCATCTCTAAAGGTAATGGTCATATTAGCCATTTCCTTACAAGGAAACATTTGGCATTAATTGACCGAGTAGCTAGCTGTTTTGGGCTGAAATTTATAAAATTTTTCTCTCAAAATAATTTTTCAGAAAAACAGATTTCCCAATTCCAGTAACTTTTATTGTTTTAATTTCATTTTCTTCCTAATCTTCTATTTGAAGTGGTGTGGGATGTTAACATCTTGATTAAATCATTATTTCTCTTCAAGTAACATGTGCTATCTATTTTAGCTGTTGCTCTTTTTGGAAGTCCTCAAGTGATGTGGTTTCGGTGATCTGGTACAGTTCTTTGTGATTCTGTAATGTCAGTCCACAATATTGAAAGGATCTTTGACAAGAACCTCAGATTTCACTCGATCATAGGCTTTATTAAACATTGATTTTAGAAAGCGGCTGTATACAGCTGACAGATTAGATATTTCTGAATAGGTTATTTAAGAACATTTTTCAGGTTTAAAGAAGGATGGTCCTCTCTAAGACCTACGTACTTCATTTGCTCAAAACAACCATTAGCCCTTGATCTAAGAAAGCACTTGTATACAGCTGACAGTTTAGATATTTCTGAACAGGTTTGGCGCCATGCATGACATGCAGAATATTAAGAACATAACTCTAGTCATCCTGGATATGACGATACGCTACATCCGCGTCCTGGCTAAGATAACCTACGTCCGACAGCAAGGCCTCTTATTAGAAGGTTTTGAGGAGCGTGGAACCACCTCTTGATTGCTGGTGTTTCCAGGTCCACGCTGACGGCGTGGTAGCACCTGTTAGGGTCCCAGTTATGGGCAAATAGTTAACTCCCAAACTGGGGTGAAAACACTATGAAAGTGTAAAAATAGGGTTTAATACCAGAAATACTCCTTTGTAAACAAAAAAATTATTACAGCAATAAATTTTTGAAGAAAAAAAAAATACCAGCAATACATTTTTGAAAAAAAAATATTCCCAGCTATAGATTTTCGAAGGAAAAAAAAAAAAATATTACAAAAGTGTTAATGAAACTTGATTTACAAAGTGATTTTGTTAGAAAGAATACATTTTTATTCACACACACGTGTGTGTGTGTGTGTGTGTGTATATATATATATATATATATATATATATATATATATATATATATATATATATATATATATATATATATATATATATATATATATATATATATATTGAGTAATGGATATCGGCCCGGATTGAGGAATCAGAGAGCCGAGTTCGAATTCAAGTCGAATCCATTACATTCACTTAAGTGCTAATACCCTTGGGATAGGTATTAATCCTTTTCTCCTCCCCCATCTATGGGTAAATAGTAAAACAAACCGGGTTCTATAGTCTTGGATGGCAACTGGTCTACCGCAGAAAGAAATGGCAACCTACTGCGGGAAAAATCTGCCTCATCAGTCACATGACATCGAAAGATATCTGTTCGCCTAAGTGTGTATCATGCATGGCACATAACTGACTGAGATCTAATATATATATATATATATATATATATATATATATATATATTTAACATCAAATTTTTGCATCGAATAATTACCATAAAAACAAACATACAATAAAATAATTTTTATAATCCATAGCCCTAATAAATAGTTTAAATACCCTACAAAAAATGATAACCCTTTATGAAGTCGTCAGTCGTCAGTGCGACGGCAGTTTTTTTATATACACAAAACCCTTTCAGAAAGAAATAAAATAAAAAAATAAATAAATCTCCATAGACACGTAAACCAGACTTGGCGAAAACATCTTCCGTCTTAAATTTAGACACCCCTACCTTACCCTGACTTGACATCTATGAATGTAACTCTATACTGATACAAATTATTAACACCTAACACCCCTCCCTATTTAAACAATCGCTCTGGCTGTTACCATGGAAATTTTGATTTCAATAATGAATATGCTATTAAAACACGTAAATTTCAGAAATAAGTTATTCCAAAAACAATTTCGCTTGAAGATGGAACAGAGCTTACTTTAATTCAGTTTAATTCGAATAATTATATTGAAGTTTTCGGCTCTTGTTTTGAAACATGAGACCTCTTATGTAGCGTGTTGGAATCGTATTTTTAAATAAAGAATTATATATATATATATATATATATATATATATGACTGTTTATTATGATTAATGAGCCGTTCTTAGCTTCGTATGGGTAGAAAATAAAGACAAAAATTGTCCAACATTTGGATATTTTTTTATTATGCTGTTCCTCGATGTATACTTTCGGCTCACATGAGCCATCATCAGAGTGGTTCTATGGACATTACAACAGAGATGTTTACATAGACGTTTTCTGTGCAACGATAACATAAGAGGATGTCATCTTTTATGGTGAACATCACTGTTGTAATCTATATATCCTACAAATATTTCAATAGTTATCCCCGTTATTCTACTTATTCATTGCACATGTGGAAAAAAAATATCGGCATGGAATGAGAAATTGCAGAGACGAGTTCGAATTGCGGTCGGGTTCGTTAAGTTCGCTTACGCTCAAACACCATTTGGAAAGATATGAATCCATCTCTTCTTCCCTCGGCTATGATTTGAATAAGAGGACAGAATGGGTCCTATAGCCTTGGATGGCTACAAGTCTACCGCAAAAAGAAATGGCAACCTACTGCGGGAAAATCTTCTGTCTAGTCAGTCATGAATCGAAAGAGACATGATCGCTCAAGTGTGTATCACGTGATGACACTTTACTAGTTTTATATCTTCTTCCGTCGGCTATGATTTGAATAACAGGACAGAATGGGTCCTTATAGCCTTTGATGGCAACAAGTCTACAGCAGAAAGAAATGGCAACCTACTGCGGGAAAATCTTCTACCTAGTCAGTCATGAATGAAAAGAGACATGATCGCCCAAATGGGTTTCACTTAACTGACTGACCGATTAAAGTAGAGTGTCTAAAGAAAGATCCAAAGAAGGAACTTCGCAAAGATTTGAATGGTGAGATCTCCTGAATCGTGGGGCTGGGAAATAAACAACTAAGGAATTTGGTTATTTTTTGGAGGTTCTAAGAAATACGGTGGTCTCCAAATACCTTACCCCCTACAACACATGTCGGCTATAATTCTTGCTTCATATTCAAATTATTTAAGCTTAAAAATAACGGTCTTTTTTTTTATTATTTCTTTTATTCATTTTTTTTTTTTTTTTTGTAGATAAAGAAATTTTGTTTTTGATTTTTTAATTATATTTTTATTTATTTTTCTTTCTTCTTTTTTCCTTTTTTTTCTTTTTCTTTTTTTTTTCTTTTTTTTTTTTTTTCTTTTTTCTTTCTTTTTTTTTTTTTTCTTTTTTTCTTTCTTTTTTTTCTTTCTTTCTTTCTTTTTTTCTTTTTCTTTCTTTCTTTTTTCTTTCTTTCTTTTTCTTTCCTTCTTTTTTTTTCTTTCTTTCTTTTTTTCTTCTTTCTTTTTTTCTTCTTTCTGTCTTTTCTTTTTTCTGTCTTTCCTTTTTTCTGTCTTTTTTTT